TCCCAGCTTTCTTCCTGCTCAAAAATATGGACCTGATCTCTGTGTAACTAAGGAAGGCAAAAAAAAAAAAAAAAAAAGTATGTGATTTAGATCTGCCGAGAGCAGTTATAGCACACCGCTGTTCATATGAGATTTTATTAATTTTGCCTATCTATTATACTACTTATGTGTGATTAAAATGAAAGTGAGATATATTTTATTTATATTAGAACACATACTTTACATTTGACCATTCTTAACACTATATTACCTATTTTTATATTTCTAGCATTTTTCACTAATCTTCTAATTGTGATATAGTAGGATTATTTCAGTTTAGGTAATCTTCTCTGCTTTTTGTGGCTAATTAGATAATACAACTATGGTCTCTCTGTGTTCTTTTTTGTCTCTTTCCCTAGCGAATGTCCTGTGCAGTGAGCCATTTTCCATTTCAGTGTTTGTTTTTCATATGGGAAGAAATTCAGTCCTGCAATAAGTGGACACAACACCCAATGAAATCCATGGAACCTGCTTCTGGTGGGGCTGAATGCAGCCCTTGATCCTTTGTTAATATGTGAATGTTATTTTCATGGTTACAGTCTACTTAGATGAACTTTCCCTCAAATGCTTCTTCAGTACCTTATCCACTATAAACTAATTTGTATAAATTTTCAGTGCTACCCAGAAAAAAGCTAAAACAGTTTAAAGACGTGATGAGTTACAAAGTAGAGACCATATATTTCGGCATTTTCAAAAAGTACCAGATAATGTGTATTTAACAAGAAAAATATCCCTGTCTTCTGAGTCTTGGTATTATATACACTGCCCAAGTCTCATTAGCATCATTTATGTTATGTTATCAAGATTTTCTGAATGAAAAATGTTCCTCATAAACTTGAATCTATCTATTATATTTCTATGATAAACATGCAACATCCACAACTCAAATAAACATATCTGCTTTTTACCACACACGTACATAGGATGAGAAGAGAATAATGCTGTAGGAGTTCAGTGTACTAGGAGAAGAAATTATATGATTTAAATGCAAACACAGTAACACTGTATATTTAATACCTAAAAAAAGGCAAGTTTTAATTATAATTAATTATGGTCAATAGAAGAGTGATAAATTGTAGATAAATTGTTTACAGTCATAGTTTTAGAGTCAAATCTCCATTTGGTTAAGCCATGGAAATTGTATTTATTAGTATTAATTTGTGCTTGTATCTAAACAGATTCAGATATTCTGTAGATTTCTGTTCTGCTATGCAGTATATTTCTCTGTCAGTTCTTGAAATAAGTTTTGTTGTACTTTTATTTGAAGAATTTGGACAACAAGCTCTACTTGAGGACAAGACTACTGTGTCCTATTTTTATTTATCGTAGTGCCTAGAGATCCCAGTCAGTGCTGGTCACTCTGCAAACACATAGTAAGTGGCAGGCCCTACCCCAAAGAGCTACTTTTACCTCCCTTCATAACTGCACAATACTTATATTTTCATTTAGGGTGCTGTTCAGATGTCATGAGGGATGGATATGGTAGAACCTAAGCTGAATAGAACAGAATGCACTCAGGGCATAGAAGCTGTAGAGTGCTCGTAACATATGAGAACGTAGATTCTTACATGCAGTAGAGCTGGAATCCACTATAGGGATGGTAGTGGCTGGGGTTGGGTCAGGACAATAATTCTGGACTATGTGATTATGCCTACTAAATGAATGTAGATCCACATAAACTCCTGGAGAGGGGCTTTGGTGGGATCATGGCTCCTACTGTAGCCTAAAAACTGAAATAGCAGCCACTGAGGGGTTGTGGTGCTGTCCTGCCTATAGGATGAGGACAGATTTGGGCCTCGCATTCATGTATAGTTTCCTATAATGGTGGAACTGCACCCCTTAAAGACTATATATTAGTACGATACAGGGAATCTAGGCGTTTCACAGGCATCTCTCTCTCTCTTACTTCAGCCCAAATCTCTTTCTTTTTGCTGTACTCCATATGATTATTTTTCTAGCATAGGAGGGAAAAGATGTTTATGTTCTATCTGACTCAGTCTAAATAACATGTTAAAAGGTGATGATCTCTTCAATCATTACTGATCATTACTGACAAAACTATATTTTAAAATGGAGAAAACAAATGTGTTGACCTTGTGAGCTATGTAATACGTTTAAAAAGCAAATCTGCTATGTCTTTTTGTTTAATAGTTGTGATTTGCATAGTTGAACCTTGAATGCATGGTCATAAATAGTTAGAATCTAAGTTGGCATAATGCCCAGCAATGTTAGGGTTCCAGACAAAAAAAGGGTCATCTACTCATCAAGAAAGCCACCCCGTCTCAACAAGATGATGTCTAACAAAAAAGCTACAAACCTGAGGATAGATAACATATCCAGTTTATTGTTTAAAAATACAAGAAGTTTTCACTTACCAGGATAATCTAGTGATGATACTCTGATAAAAAAAAAAAGAGAGAGAGAAAAGCCCATCAATTGTTTTTGCTAATTAAGATTAATATTATTCCTGTGAAATGAACCAAAAAGCTGTATGAAACCAGAATCCCAAAAGAGATCTATAATCTACACAAATAATTGCATGGAGTTTTAATTGAGAGAAAAGTGAGAACCAATGTTTTGTCTTATTCAAGAAATCATAGCAGTTCTTTCATATTCTCACTTGATGTAAAAAAACATGCAATTTTTCACAGATTAAAAACATTTATGGAATTTTAAAAACCCTATTTAAAGACAAAATGGTTATATATTTAACGAAATGCTACAATTATATATATTTAGCATTAATTTAAGGTAACAAATAATTTATTTACAGGAAAAAAAAACTGGTAATCCATACCAGTATGGTAATCTATACTAGCATACTGGTAATCCATAACTAGCATAATAATTCTGTACCTGGGAGCCAAAGGCAAAATGTCATATTTGGGGATGGGTATATGGTTATAACTACAAAACCTATTCCTCCTAAAAGTGTTATCTTGGTATTCTGCACCAGTGCCTGATCACCCAGCGCACTGCATGTATCATTTTGTTTGTTTGTATAAGACATATGACCCTTGAGGGCAGAACTCTTGTCCTTCTTTGTTCTACATAGTGCAAAGCGCACTGCTGGCACACAACCAATAATAATAATTTTACTTAACCTGCAAACTTATAGCTATATTGACCCCAATCATGATGCCAACTGAATATATTTGTTTTCAGCCTAAATTAAATGTTGTTTCTTTTCCACCACTTTCCTAGCAGTCCCCTTCATTTATTCAGCCTTAAGCTAAAACTGTTTTAAGTGGACAAAATCTGTTGGTAAACACATGGTCAAAATCTGTTGGTAAACACTTACCTTTAACAATATTATTGCTTAACACTGTAGAAAAGCGTATATGTAGTGCAAGGATCTATGGCTGCAGCCTATATATGATTCTTGTGCCAAGTACCTACTGCTAATAGGCAAATATACACAAAAGAGACAGGTTCTTTGATGGTTTAATCCCAAACATACTTAACTGTCACATAGTTAATCTTTTTGATTAAAAATGACTCTTCAGTTCTTTTGAGCATTTTTTTTGTTTGTTTGTGGATTTGGGAGGTTAAATGTGGTTCTCATGTCTGCTTGGAGCTGCTCTTTTTTATTTGTTAGTTCTACATGATTATTTTTCCCTTTTAATCACAGTCCCCCAGACATATCCTTGACGCTGATACTGCTGAGACACCCACTATTAACAAGCAGGTAAATATATCAACAAAGCAGAGAACCTCATTGTTATTATCAAATGGTTTGATCTACTGGTTAAAAACAAGTTTGTTCAAAACAGCTTCACCTACAGGCTTTACTTTCCTATAGGAGAAAAAAGTTCCAAAGAACAAGTCCCTTGCTTTGTGCACTAGAAACCCTATCATCATTTTTTAAAAGTTCATTTTAAACTTGTGTCTTTCTGTGGTTTTCTTGAATTCTGGAACCCTTCTGCCTTGTTTCAAAGACAACAGAAAACCAGGCTGGCACTCATTTTAATCCTTCATTGTTTTATGCTCTTATGCATTAAATTTTTTGAATAATCTCCTTTTAAAAGCAGATTTTGAGTTCCTTCTGGGATTAGATTGGATGTCTTTCAGCTATAACGCTAAGAAGCAGTCACATTTGAAGTTTGAATTTGTGCTCGGAGGGGATATTTTTTCCAGTAATATTTCTTCCCATTTTAACAGTAGTTCCACTTCTTGATGGTTTTATGTTGATTTCAAACTACATTTTTATGGAGTGGAAAGAAATTCCTTTATAAAGGGAATGCCCAAGAACTGTTGGAAATGTCTCTCCTAGCAGCATACTCATAGGATTCAGTATAGTTTGCTCAGAAGTGTTATTTTAGGATGACCTTTACATGTACAATATGATGAATTTTTCTTTTTATTTGATTGTAAAGACGTTATGATCAAGGGGTAAAATAAATATTGCCTTTTTCAGTCATAAAAAATGGAGAATGACAACTGAAACCATCTTTTTTAAACAACATGATAGCAGGCAGCTCTCTCAGAAGAAGTGATGTCTGCTTTTGGAAAACATACAATTTTAAATTCACAGATGCGGCAAAGCCCTAGTGAAACATAAATAAGGATCAATTTTTATACAATTCAGCACAGTGAAACATTGTATAGGACTCACCCTTTCTCAGTGTAAAGGAGAGATACACTTGCTCTCTCTCCTGATAGGATGTAAACTATATTTGTGTGTGTGGGTATGTATATATTACAATAAATTATGCAGAAAACCTCAATGGTGAACACTCCAGGTTCAGAAGCATTTCCAAAAGATATGGTAAATTCTTATGTGTCTTTAGAAATAAATGTAATACTCTGTGGGACTTTTCTAGCTAGTGAACAGGATTTGAATATTCAAAGATTTACATTTCAATATACCATATAATTATCAGATTGTCAGTTTGCTTAAAAATAAATGTACAATCTTTTATTATAACAATTTACTTTCTCTTCTTCATAGTCAGTATTATCAGAGGTAGAAATAGCTTTCTGCTTACCATTCTGGGAAAGAAGAAATTCATCATTGTACCATAAATACCCTGGAAAGCAAAGAAAATGTTATTAGTTATTATGCCTTCATCCATAGGGATTCTAACTGCCAAACACAATGCATCAGCAGCAAAACAAAAATGAAAAAAATCTATCGTAGAAAGCACAGATCAATATTTTAATTCAGATCTGAACATATGTTACATGTACTTAGGCAGTATGGGCCAGTTTTGAAAAAGGAACGAAAAACCTAACCTATGAGAGAAGACTCAAAGAGCTTGGCTTGTTTAGACTAACCGAAAGAAGGCTGAGGGAGTCATGACTGTGCTCTAGAAATACATCAGAGGGATAAATACCAGGGACGAAGAGGAGTTATTTAAGTTAAGTACCTGGACCCAAGAACAAATTGATATAAACTGGTGATTAAGTTTAGGCTCAAAATCAGGCAAAGGTTTCTAACCATCAGAGGAGTGAAGTACTGGAACAGCCTTCCCAGGGGAGCAGTGGGGGCATGGGCGGCACTAACCCAGGCTGTGGCCCTGCCCACACTCTGCTGGGAGGCCCCACTCTCACTTCCCCTCTTCCCTGAAGATGACGGGGGCTCAGCTCCTGCTGGTGGCCAGGGGCTGGGGCGGCTCAGGCTGGCCCAGGGGACAGGCCAGTGGCCCAGAGCGGCATTGGAGCCGGCAGCCTTGGGGTTAGGCCGGTGCTGGGGCTGGCCGGCAGCTCCTCCAGCCGCAAGGAGGGGAGGGGGGCTCGGGCAAAAGTGGCAGGGCCAGCAGGCTAGCCTCTCTAAAGTGGGGGTTCGACTGCTGCCCATGAGTGGGGGCAAAAATCCTAACTGGCTTCAAGACTGAGCTTGCTAAGTTTATGGAGGGGATGGTATGATAGGACTGCTTATGATGGCATATAGCCCATTGGCAACTGGCAACAGCAAAAATCCCCAATGGCTGGAGAGAGGACAGTAGATGGGGAGGGCTCTGAGTAACTACACAGAATTCTTTCCCAGGTATCTGGCTGGTGGGTATTGCCCAGATGCTCAGGGTCTAACTGATTGCCATATTTGGGGTCGGGAAGGAGTTTTCCCCTGGGTCAGATTGGCAGAGACCCTGGGGGGGTTTCACCTTCCTCTGCAGCATGGGGCACAGGTCACTGGCAGGTTTAAACTAGTGTAAATGGTGAATTCTCTGTAACTTAAAGTCTTTAAATCATGATTTCAGGACTTCAGTAACTTAGAGATTATGGGTCTATTACAGGAGTGGATGGGTGGGTGAGGTTCTGTGCAGGAGATGAGACTATTTCACAATCCCTTCGTGATTTGGGATTGCACTTCCATTAGGATTTGTCTGTGCACTGTTTGGAAAATTTGGTTCTAGTGTTACATTTTCAATGGGGAGATGGTCATCTAATTTCCCTTTGTGCCTTTGAAAAATCAACCCCTATTCTCAGTGGTGCATTAATGTTTTGCAATGGTGTAAAATTGAGATCAATGGAATTATATTGAGATAAAACTAGAGTGACACAAATGGCAGATAAGACCCAATATTTCCCTTTTCAAAGGACTGAAACATGTTGCACTGGACTGAAAATATTATGTAAAGATTAAAATAAGAATATTCCTTAGATGGCTATTAAAAGATATTAAATATCCTTTACAATCTGCTGAAATAAAAAAGTGTTGCTTATGAATGATACTCTGTGACAGTCCTGAGAACTGAAGAAATTCAGTACAGACACCACCCTACACACCCTCACCAACATTCAATCCTGTGAGATGTAGCACAGAATCTCTCCCTCTCTTTGGCCACTGAAGGAAAGGACAACAGGGTAGCCCTCAGCAAAAGGAAAGGTAAAAGACACGTCAGCATGTCTCAATTTAGCCAAGTTTCAAAGAGGAAAAGGAAACCGCTCTCCACACCAGTTCTCTTCACAGCCCCAGTGCTTGTCTCAGAGATCTTTGCTCCTCGAATCTGAGTGCTAGATTTTGGCCTTGTTTTCCCTCAGTTTATCCCTCTGGTGTGTTGGGGTGAATTAATTGATTCCCCACAGCTGGTCCAGCACTGTTACTTTGAAAATCCCTGCACTCAGACCAGGCAATGGTTGTCCTTCCTGTGGCTGAACCCACAGGACTATACTCATTTTTAGAAACCATTCCCTCCACCCCCAAACACACACACACACACACACACACAACTTCATTTGATTTCAAAGGGAATTACATAAACATATGAGTAGTTTAGCTTGACAACTAATGTGAGAGTCCCTTTTAAGCCATGCAAAATCTTTAATTTCTAGTCACTTGGTATTATACAGAATAATTTATTTAAAAAAAATCTCAACTCCACGGTGTCCTTAGTTTTTTGGTTCCACTGACCAAATACATTCTTTAAGGGGATATGAATGTGACAGCCCCAGGCTTTAATTTTGTTCTTGCAGTGCCAGTAAGATAAGACTTTTTTACATCACAGTTTTCCATTCATTTTGCAACTAGTCTCTGTCTTTGGGTTGTGTATTACAAAGTTCAAGAAACTCACCAGATGCTCTAGTTCATGTTTGCTCATTACATTTTCTGAATCAATAAACAAAATCAAGTATTTTTAATCGCCAGTTCCTGAAGAGGGCAGCACGTTCTAGATATTATTGAATTGTAAGCTAAAACATGACAGTCCTGGCTTTACCATACTGTAAGCGGGGATGTGGAGGAGGGGAGGGACATTTTGGATATTTTGTGTAGCCAGTTCCCATGATACAATAAGCCAGGAAAGTTCTAAGCAGTTACAGACCAAGGTCAAAACTGTATTTGATTATTAAAAAGAACATTCAGATTAGGTTACCTGAAGCAATGTGTTTAGAAAGGAAACAACAAAATATCAGCAAGGACTACTTCCATGAGGAATGTGTTTTATCTTTAACACTGTAGATAACTTTTCCTATTGGCAGTGCATTGACTGTCAAAACTACTAAAGGGGTTAGATTTAATTATCTCACTTCTTGCACATTTCATCTCAATTGCTATGGCAACATTCAGTTGCCTCAGCAGCAATGCTCACTTTAATCAGATATTTCCTCACTCATTTCTCTGTGCACCACAGCAATGTAGTCAAATTTACAGCCAAACCCTGATGCCTCTGATAACACCTCTTTGGAATTAATGGTTAGGTTTCCCCCACATACACACCCACCCACCCACCCAAATACTTGCAGAGAGTTTAGCGCCCTGACAACCAAGGCTGTAAGAGATGAATAGTGTGTATACTTTAACTCCTTTCTACATCATCGATTTTATGCTGTTTCTCCCACCACTCCCTCTTTACAAGCTTCCACTTATTTAATAACCCAACCCAGCAAGCTATGGGCAGGTATTCTGGTTTCTGCAAGAACTCTATTTAAGGGTTGAAAACAGGAAACACAATATTAGCCAGACATTCCATTTCCACCCCTCCCCAAAAAGCTTTTTGTTTGATTACTCATCTCTTGATTAGATACTTCTTGGTGTATGTCATACCTCTTTAAACTCTCAGACTGAGAAATCAGGGACAAAGGCTAAAATAAAAATAATTAGTGGCAATGAACCAATACCAGGAACTACATTTTGAAAGACTGACAGTATCAAGAGACAGGAAAAGAAAAATGCACATAGGACTTAGTAAATTTTGATTATAGAAATGTTTAGTATTTTAGAAGTAGAAAAAACGTCTGGGTTGAAAATATGCAAACATCCAGGTAAACTGGGATAGCACCTAATAATGCCTAGCTTCTATGGTGAAGGGCAAATTAAAAATATATTACATGGATTCAATTAGATTATAGTAGAGACAGACAGATATGAGAGGTATGGTGGGCTCAGGGCATTAAAACATGACATATTTCCACATATTATGCATTAAAATATCCATTTGTTGTTTTGCTCTTTTAAATAAAAGCCAGTGCGGTAAGTACTATAATCTCCACATTGTCCTTGAGCTGTGGTTTTCCTCATAGTTGTAAACCTGCTAAAAGGACAGTAGTGTCGCAGCATATTTTCAGTGTCTACCAGACATTGTCTAGTACTCCATTAATGAAAGCAATTTAGGTTGCTATGTCGCCAGGATGGTTTTCCGAAACAGAACCCACAAACTAAAGTCCCAGTCCTACAAACCCTTACTTACAGGAATAGTCAATGGGATTTCTCATACAAATAAGGACACTATTCATGTTCAAAAGGGCTTGCAGGAACGGGCCCCAAGAGCCTATTTCCCTGTCACATTTATTACAGTACATACACATGAGTTTTCAGTGAGTATCCAAACAGCATTTAAGCTTTAGGGAAAGGAAAGATCATTTAAAGTTCAGGTTTTGCAATCTTGTACTAAAACTGAAGTGCAAAAGTACTTATGCCTAAAAAAATCTAATACCCACGCACTCATTGACGATAATCACGTTTGCAATATAACTTGCTTCACTTATAGAATTCATATGAAAAGTGATTCCTGTGACTTCCATGGAGCTATGCGGATTACCAGCAGGTGAGGATCTGCCCTATAATCTTCATATTATTATTATTTTTATAGTGCTATAAGTATCCATGGCCCTGTACAATTAGGGAACTTGTGCCAAACAAATAACTATTCCTTGCTCTCCTTAGTTTATAAACGATAGCAGTGGTTCTCAAACTTCATTGCACTACGACTGCCTGCTGACAACAAAAATTACTACCTGACCCCAAGAGGGGAGATCAAAGCCTGAACCCACCTGAGCCCCACCGTCCCAGGCAGCAGAGCCAAAGCTGAAGCCCAAGGGCTTCAGTCCTGGGTCGGGGGGGCTGTAACCTGAGCCCTGCCACCCAGGGATAGCTCAGTGGTTTGAGCATTGGCCTGCTAAACCCAGGGTTGTGAGTTCAATCATTTAGGGATCTGGGGCAAAAATCTGTCTGGGGATTGGTCCGGCTTTGAGCAGGGGGTTGGACTAGATGACCTCCTGAGGTCCCTTCCAACCCTGATAGTCTATATTCTATGATTCTATGAAGCCTTCAGGTTTGGGCTTCAGTCCTGGGCCTCAGCAAGTCTAATGG